TAAAAACTAAAATAAAAATAAAAATACCCAACCAAATAATTACCTGAAGCAGTCATGGTCTCAAAATAAAATGTTTTTTTTTTTTTTTTCCCTAGCTTGCAAATAACACTGATTGCTTCCAAGTTGTTTTGATGAGATGTCTGTGACGGAGAAGTGAAATTTTTAAATTTCATTTAAGTTTGCATAAGTTGACTCATTAGCAGATAATCAATGATTCATTAATTCTGCAAGGAAAACTTCGTGATTTACACCAAGAGGCATGGATTTCTGCAACTTTTGTCTTCAGAAGAAAGCTGAATACATGAATGGAGTAAAACTGAAGGTACAAGTAGCAACATACACAGATTAATCAGCTCCTCCACGGCCCTTCCTCCACTCCAGCAGCCTCCCCAGTCCAACTCCTCCTGCCTTGCAAACTGAATTCCTCCCTCCTGCATCCTCAGCCTTTCACAAAATCTTTGCTGCCTGCACAAAGCCCTTCAAGGTGACATTTTTCCAGCCTGGAAACAGAAGCTGGACCCCAATCACCACCGTCTGGGTTTTTTTTTCCCCTCTCCATCAGGCAGGTGTCCAGTGAGGGGCTGTGACCTGACATTGATGTTATAATTAGGCTGGTTTCCATCTCACAGAACAATTGCCGGCATTCTTGCCGGCGGTCAGAGTTCACCCAGGGCCAGGGATGCTGTGACATTGATTGGCAGCTCCCAGCCCAGCCACCATCTCCTCCTTGTCAGCTCTGGGCTTATCAATTAGTGGCTGCACAGCTTAATGAGGTTTTGATGATGGAGGGCGGGTGGGATTTCATTCCCACCCAGGCAAACACCGTGGCAATAACTTTGCTCCCTCTGGTGTGATGTTTTCTTCCAGAGCAGTGACTTCATCGGGAAATTGGGAGCCTTTCTCTTTTTTTACAAGGAATCCTGGCTGGAAAAGTGTCCTGAGTGACAGGGTGCAACATTAAGAGTGTCTGAGGGGGCAGCTTTGCTGGAGTTTCAGAGCACTCTGCTGATGGAGGGCAAATATTTCAGCTGAGCTTTAAAAACCCAGATTTTCTGTCCGTGCTCATTAAAAGCAGGAGGGTTCGTGCCACAAGAAATCCTGTACAGCAGCGTGGTGACTGGTGATGGTCAGAGAGCTTTCCCTGATGGAGTTCTGTGAAACTGCACTGAGCTCTCCAAATGGCATTACTGCATGCTGCCCCTCTTTATTTCAGTGCTTCCAATTTGCTTTTAATTCTCCCA